TATATATATATGAAGCTTGTGTGGTTGGAAGGTGCTTGATACTCTCGTATCTTACCTATATCTACAGGCAAAGCCACTATCCTAACGGACGAACGCGTCAAGAAGATGAGCGAAGTGCTGATGGGCGTGCGCGTGATGAAGATGTACGCGTGGGAAGAGTCGTTTGCGCGGGTGGTTCAGAGCCTACGATCACAGGAGATGATACATGTGAGGTGAGTGCGATATACAGTCATAGTATACTAGCAAAAGGAGATATTGGGACTATTATCGCATTTTTAAAAGGTTTTTACGGTTTTAGGGTTTACGGCTCAGGGCTTACGATTTAGGGTTTAAAATCATCTAGGTACATGCTGATGCAACAGATAAGTAGATATGATATATGGATATGTGCGACCTATGCCACCGACCAATCAGTTACTATTCTTTACCAGTTACATATGATGATAACTTACGGCATTCAGTGAGAGATCTAAATATTTTAAGTCCAACCAACTATCTACCGAAACTTACATACGCCTATTCTCGTAACCCCACGCTCCAGGAAAGCGGCTGTTATGCGAGGCTTCAACTACGCCATGTTCTTCGCATCGCCGTCCATTATCACGTGTGCGATCTTTGTCACATACCATTTGACGGGCAATCAGCTGACGTCGAAGAAGGTCTTTACAGTGCTGTCGCTTCTGTCTGTGCTCGCCCTGACGCTTACACTCTTTGTGCCCTTTGCAGTACAGGGTAAGTGTGAGACATATGCGTATGTGTATATGTTGTATGTGCATGTATGTGTATATGTCGTATGTGTATGTAAATGTGTATATCGTATGTGTATATGCATGTCTATCCCGATGTGTATGCACATTTGCGTGTGCATTATGCGTCTATACCATCTGACGAGTAACCAGCTGGCGTCGAAGAAGGGGTTTCCAGGGCTGTAACTTTTGTCTGTGCTTGCCCTGACGTTTACACTCTTAACCATATGCGTATTAACGCTTGGATGGTTTGCATGAGGTGTATGTATGTATAGACACGTGCATGTTGTCCCTGAGGTGTCTATATATATAAACATGCGCATGTTTTCTCTGAGGTGTTCATATATATATATATTTTATATATTTTATATATATATATATATATATATATATATATATATGTATGTCTTCCCTGAGATGTTTATTTATATA